AATAACAACAATAATCAATATCATCATGGCGGGCAGCGGCGGTGGTGGGGGGTGGTGGCAGTGGCAGCGGCAGGACCAGCCTGGGGCTGGTCCAAAGGCCTCAGGGGGGCACATCCGGCCCCCGGGCCGTAGGTTGCCTACCACTGGTGTAGTGACTTGAGCATTGGACTATGACCCTGGAGACCAGGGTTCAATTCCTCAGCCATGGAAACCCACTGGTGACACACTCTTGGCCCCAGAAAAGCCTGTGATACGGTCACCTTAGGGTCTCCATGACAGAAATGTGTTGAAGGCACACAATAACTGTACATTATTACTGTAACTGAACAAAAGATAAATTAATTCCTTTCAGTGTAACTCTACCTTTGCACTTTTGTAGTTGTGGGAGTATTGAGTGAGTATGGAGCAGGAATATCACATGTTTTCAATGCTAGTTCATGCTGGATTAAAACTTAAACTGCTGGATTAAAACACACCAATTGTTGTTTTTAAGTAGGACATTATTTATCATTATTTTTGAAAAATGGGAGATAAAAAGTTGCTTTTTAAAAAAACTGGTGGCTGTCATAGTAACAAACTACTTGGGAACAGATCAGAACTGTAGAAGTATAACTGGTTTTAGGAAGTTTGGTTAAAGGTTTTCAGTTGAAGAGGTTATATGTGTAATGGTTATTTTGTGTGAATTTTGTACTTTAAGTTGAGGGTTATGTTTTCTGTAATTGTTTTTGTTTGTATTGTGTGTGGTTTTTTCCTTCTTTACTATTTTATGTATTTGAAACTATGTTTTTGAATAAATACTTGTTTAAAGGAGCAAATCAGAACTGTAATGTTAACAACTGCTGTTAAAAAAAACTGTTCTAGCTCTGAATCAGTGCTCGTGAAAGTTAATTTCTGGATGAAATTCCTAGAATTTCACAACCAGTAAGCAAATGATGGCTGTAACAATAATGGGGTACATTTGGGTTGCTTGGAATTAAAAGTTACACTGGCTGTAGGATTCTAGGAATTATAGACAAAAAAAAAGTAACTTTCCTAAGCCCTCCTCTGGGATAGTATCTTCCAAAACCATATTCTACTTTGGTTATCACATCTGTTGCATTCACAATTTAGAAGGGAACAGATAGTCATTTATAGTATAGTTTCCCTATGGAATTTCCATGTTCAAACATTTTTGAGCAAACAAAATGAATTAACCATAACTAAAATAGCACTAATAGATTGTGCTTTATGCAATAAGGAATGTAACATTACATCATCTAGATTACAGGGTGTGGTAGAGGACACTGGCCAAAACTCAGGTTCTTTGGGAACATGATGGAGATGATGAACCATTAAACCAATGTAGGAGGCATGGGAACAGGCAGAAGGATCTCTGAGTCTCCAGGCAGGATGGCACACCTCAAGAAAAACAGCACTGGAAGAGAAGAAAGTATGGTTGTGGGGTGGCTTTAGCTTGGGCACCCATCTCTACCCACACAAAGCTGATGCTAGATCTTTCATACTCA